TACAAGGTGTTGGTTATTACCTTTGAAGCCCTAAATGGCTTGGGTCCATCCTATCTTCGTGACTGCCTCCTTCCATACAATCCTCCCTGCACACTCAGGTCCTCTGGGAGGAATCTGCTACAGCCTATAAAAACTAAGCTGTCTGCTACCTCCCAGAGGGTCTTCTCAGCTACCGCTCCCAGACTATGGAACGGCCTGCTGGACGAGCTCCGTCAAATTACTACTCTGGCCTTCAAGAAAGCTGTTAAGATGGATCTCTTCCAGCAGGCCTTTTCTGACTAGATTTCCCAGCCCAAGAGTTAGTCTTCCTCTCCTTCACTACTCTCAGTTGTAATGAGGGTTGGTCCCTTCTAATGTATGTATTTTAAATGTGTTTTTAAATTTGTGATACTGTTTAATACTTTTTTAGGGATGGGTGGGTTTTGGGGTTGTTTGGGATGGGATGGGGATTGTATCTGTGTAAATTTTAATGTTGTAAGCCACCCCAATTGCTCTGCAGAGGGACAGGGTAAAAATAAATTTTTTATTATTATTATTATTATTATTATTATTATACATGTGAATTTTTAAATTGTAAATTTTAAATCTGGATTGTTTTAATATGTGCATATCCTGTCCTTTTAAATGGTATGTATGACCTTTTAAATATATGTTTATTTTAACTGATGTGGTATGTCTGTTGATTGTTGTTGTTCCCCACCTCGATCCATGGGGAGAGGCGGTAAGAAGTAAAAAATAAATAAATAAATAAATAATATTTAGATCAGAAATGGGAATTGTGTGGCCTTTCAGATGTTGGTGAACTGCAGCTCCCATTATTCCTTACCATTGGCTATGCTGGCTAAGGCTGCTGGTAGCTACAGTACAGTCCAACATCATCTTAAAGGATGTACAGTACACATCCCTGATGTTGACAATGGCATTCAGGATGATAGTAACCAAGTTACTCAAAGTAACAAATGCTAGATTAAGGCCAGAAATTAAACCAAGATTTCCAAAGTCTTGGAAAGGGTGAAATCATTAAGAGAGAAGAAAACAAGTAAAATTAAAATGTTAACACAATTTGACTATGTAAGATCCGTCCTCTTTCCTTTCTGCTGCTTTCTTTCTTCAATCTGCTGTCATCTAGATATTTTATACTATAATGCCCATCATCTATTATCAACCTCTATACTGCCTGATAATGATGAGGGTTGTAATCCAAAACATATGGAGGGCACTAGCTGGAGGAAAGATGATCTGGGAGAAGAGTACTATACCAACAGTTTCAG